CCTGCAAGCAAAAGACAAATGTTCTACGGTCTCCTGAATCCCTTTCTTGGCTACATTAACACTTACTGCAGAATTCCATTGAAGCACTTCCAGATGAAGTGCTTCAATTTCCCTTTAACTCTCATCTTCCAGCTCCTTTCTCTAATTCGTTTATCTCTGTTTCCTGTAGCAATGTCCATTCCTAGAATTTTGCTTTCCATCACATAAGAGTAAGATCCTGCAACTTTAAACTTCCCATGTTTATCAAACTTCCAAATCCATATGTCAGGCAGCTCATGTCTCAGAGAGTCTACAACAAGAATAGCCAGCCTATCATTCTCAGAAAAAGCACAAGTTAAGATTTGATTGTTCCAGCTTCTCCCATTCTCATTGATCAAATCACTATCCCAATGAGAGGTTCAAACTCGGAGTGCAGTGGTTGAGGGCTCTTATGCATCAGGTTAGGGACCCAACTATGGTCAAGAATCTTAGTTTCTCTTCCACTTCTGATCTCCTTACACAGGCCATTGGCAAAAGTTGGTATAATGTCTACCCAATTGTTCCAAAACCAAGATATAGAGCTTACCTTTTTTACCTAAAAGATAGAAGACTGAGGGAAGTACTTTGCCTTGTGTAATATGCTCGTAAGAAGATCAAGGTAAGTAGTAAGTCTCCAAAGTTCCCTTTTCTTGCTTAGCTCCCTTGCTCCACCAAAAAGTTGCAGTGATCTTGCTCAGTTCTTGGCAGATGGATACAGGAAGTCTAAATCAACTCATGGCAAAATCAGGCAGAGCATTGATAACAGCCTTTATCAAAACTTCCTTCCCTGCAGTGGAAAGGTAAGAATTTTGCCAACTTAACAACCTTTTTTCTAACAACTTGGATAATGAAAGCAAAAGCTTCCTTCTTGCACTTTTCAATTCCCAATGGCAATCCTAGGTACCTTGTTGAATTATGAGCTTGAACTTCTTCCATCATAGCACACAAGGACTGCTTAAGAACTTGGGGTGTATTTCTGCTGAAAAAAACTGTTGATTTAGCTAGGTTCACTTTTTGGCCAGTAAAGTTATGATAAATCTGCAAAATGTGAAGCAGACTCAAAGCTTGGTCCTGGTCAGCCTTGCAGAAAACCAAGGAATCATCCGCAAACAAAAGATGGGTATGACATGCGTCATATTTACGTGCATTTTATAGTGATTTTCGTGTTTGTTTTTGTCATAGTTTGATATATATTATTATTTATTTAATTATTTATTTAATTATATTTATTAAGCTATGACGAGGTGTATTATTTTGATATTTTTACAGAAAATGGGGGCGACATATTTATTGAAGTAAAAAACGGCGAGAATAGTCGAAGACGGTGTACAAGCTATGTTTGAAAGATGCCCAAGTTGCATCCATGTCCATTTATATGTCCAATTGTACACTCCATCAACTACTAAAGTCCATCAGCTTCAACACACATAATTGGCCCAATGGGAATAAATTGGTAAATGGGCTGGCCCATTAGCCATTTAAGTGAGGGGCATAGTGGTAATTCTACATACATGGACAAGGATCTTCTCCTTCTTCACGACTGCATGCTCCTTCGTCCGCCATGGAATTGCTCGACCAAGTTGTCATCTTCACGCCACCTCGACACCGCCACTTCTCCGCTGCCCAGCTGCCGGAAAAATCCATTATCGTCGTCCTTCACCACCATACTTTCGTCGGATAAGCAGCTGCATGGCCGTCGAGGTGGTCTGCCGCGGGCTGAGCAAGAGCTGCCGGATACCTAGACGTGGTGTGACCACCTGGACGCGACTTATGACCACTGAGAGATGCCTGAGATATTGTAGAACCGACCAGGAGCTTCATGTCATCGAATAAAGTGTTGTTTTGGACGGCCAGACTCACACGGGTTGTGTGGCGTTAGACACGACTCGTGTCGTTCCGACGGGTCGTAAAGCGAGCTCTCGAATTTTTCACACGACTCATGTGAAATGTGGCACGAGTCGTGTGACCCTAGGCACAACAAAATCCAGTTTTACGCGTTTTTCCTATTTTTTTCGGTATTTTTGACCTATTCCGACTAGGACTCGACCCCAGCTATTTAAGAGACACTTGGGCACGTTTTTGAGGGGTCTGGGACCTAATTTTTAGATCTTTGGAGAGTTTTGGAGGCTAGAAACACGAGCAAGACGAGGGAGAAAGCCGAGAAGAAGGGATCGAAGGAGCCGAATAAACTTTTTCTTTCTTTTTCTTTTCCTCTTTCGAACTCAATGTTTTATATTTATTTTGAAAGCATGTTTCTAGACTAGATTTATTTTAGATTCTAGGATTTGTTAGTACTCAGATTAATTTATGATTTAGTTTTTATTTATTTCATTCT